TATGAGGAAAGGCTGAGAGAACTGGGCTTATTTAGTCTAGGAAGAGAAGACTGAGAGGGGACTTAATATCAGCCTTCAACTATCTGAAGCGGGGTTTGAAAGAGGATGGAGCTGGACTGTTCTCAGTGGTGGCAGATGACAGAACAAGAAGCAACCGTCTCAAGTTGCATTAGGGGAAGTTTAGGTTAGGCATTAGGAAGAATTTTCCCACTAGGAGGGTAGTAAAACACTGGAGCAGGTACCCAGAGAGGTTGTGGAATTCTTATCCTTGGAGGTTTTCAGGTCCCAGCTAGACAAAGCTTTGGCTGGCATGATCTAGTTGGGGATGGGTCTGTTTTGAGCAGGGGGTTGAACTAGATGACTTCCTGAGGTCCCTTCCAACCTGAACTTTCTATGATTCTGTGCGCTGCATTTGGTGCCCACACCAGACCAACCTTATGCACTAGTTCCAGGGCTGGTCCAAATCAGGCTGTGCTGGCACAGGCATGTAAGGCCACTCCAGTGGGCAGTGCAACATGCATGCCATGCTGGTATCCTGTGTTGTGTGAAACACCAGAAGTGCCAAGTTCAATCTACTTGCCAGGTCGGCTCCACATGCTGCATGTGCCATCTGGCTCATGGGCCATATGTTTGATGCCTGCTTTAAGTGAAATAACTTGATGAAAGACACCTAGAAAAGACTGGCAGCAGAGATGGCTGGGGTCAGTCTGGTGGGGTGCCACATGCAGTACACTCCACATGCTGGCCTCCTGGGCTGTGTGCAGTGCCGGGTCCAAGCCTGCATGCATCTGCAGCACAATCCTGGAGTGGGACTGGCATGCATTGCTTGCAGCACAGGGGGCTGGCATGAAGAGCATGCTGCATGCTGTGCCCCACCAGACCAGCTCTGTGCTCTGGCATGGCTTGATCTGGTTGGCAGACCATTCCAGGGATTCTCATCCAGCCTGCAGGGCCAGATGAGTTTGACACCTGATGTAAAGTGAAGTTATAATACTGACCATGATACTGTAGCAAGATGAACATTTATGTGAATGATTAAATACATGCAGTGATATTATAATGTGAAAGAAAGAATCTGTCTGGTCCATTAGAAGTCTGAAGCCTTAAACATGATTAATTTTCTTAGACTGAATGCATGGAAACTGGTTATGTCACTGATTTGTTGCTTTTTGTTCTAATTCATAGAAAATTGAATACTTTGGACTCCTTGTCCTTGCATTCTCTATTACCCAGTAAATATTAATTGACCTACAACGTAACATTTATGTTTGTTTACACATTTATGATCAAAAGGCTTCTTAGAAAATTGTTAGCTCATTTGATTTGCACAAAATAAGATATTTTTATTATCTATTTAAGGTGTTGCAACATAGATGCATTTATTTATTCTGAAAGACCCGACAAAGAATGTCTTGCATTGAAAGGCTTATTTAACTTTATTCCAACTACATAGTTGGTCCAATGAAAGGTATCGCCTTAAGAAATCTTTGCCTCTTGCTTATATTTTTAACTAACAGTATTCAATATCAGAGAATAATAAATTGAAAAAGCTTTAGATTTTAGCCTAGGATGTGGGATCAGAGCCTAAAGAGACTTGCACTTTTGGTTTACTAAATTAATTCAGTGAGACTTTGACTTCAGCGGGATGATTCCTGTGTGAAGTTGAGGCCAAAGTTTACAAAAAAGAAAATGGAACAGGGCAGGGCACATTTAGTGCTGGCTAAATAATCCTCAAGTTATCTTATAAGTGTCAGTTATATCTAATTCAGCACCTTCTTCTGTAAAGCTATTTCTATATTTCAGTAAAGCTGGAGTATGAAAAAGGGAAATATCGGATGCCATTTTCTTTTTATGGGATCGACTGCCTTCAAGATTTAATTACTGCAGAGTACTCTGCAGCCTGGGAGGGTTACTAAAAAATGCCAATTACTACAGAGTGCAGCATCCTCCTGTCCCTCAGGAGGTTATGGACTCAGAAGGGAGTTACTTGCTGAAGCTTGGATTCTGCACTGAATTTGCTAGCACAGATCTCTGTACCAGTGTGCAGCTTTCTTCCTCTGTGTTGACACAAGTGTCTGTGCCAGTTAATCAGGTCCTAAGATTGAGATGCAACTCTCACCTGTGCAGGAAAACTACTTAAATGGACTTTCTGTAGGGAAGTAAGTGAGGTGAAGGGAAAATACTCTAAACTAGGAGGAGTCCATAGTACAGACTGCCCCCAGCCTGAAGACACATCTTAGTTTTCTAGGTAGGGGCTCCTGGCCATTGGATCTGTATTAATGATGTTCCAGCCATTCTTGCAAAATACTTCCACCCCACCAGACTCTTTGGAACCTAACTTTTTGCTGCATAGGTGGTGTATATATCTACTGCATAGCTATTTTACCAGCTATATCTCACACACAAGTACTGTAAGACTTCTTGCAAAGAAGGCCTTGGAGGTCATCACAGTTAGGTGAATTTTACTCTAAAATCAGTGCTGGCAGTATTAAACCACTCAAGCTTTCTGGCTTTTATAGGAAAAATCTTGTACGTGTTTTTATTGGATCTCAGTGCATACATTAACCATAAGGTACTTAAACCTTTGAAGCTAAACAAACTCTGATATTATAATTGACACGTGTTATAGTTTTATAGTCTAGTTTATTCTGTGAACTGTTATCTTTTCAGATTGTTGAGATACCTGAGGTGGCAGGAGAGAAGAATAAATAATTAACTTGGGAGGATATTTTTTAAAATCTGCTTTGGAAAGAAAACTATGACCATTTATTTTTTTATATAGACCCAGCCATGGCCGTCAGTGCCTCTTCAAGATCTGATTATTTCAGAGTACCTCTGCAACATTGTAAGGCCACTAGAAAGTGTCAGGTACTGCTGTGTACAGCTGCCTATTATTCTTAATTGTTTTGCCCATGGACCTATTTCTTTTATGCTCTAGAGATTGTAGTAGCTTCACTTAGTTTCCTGGAGCAATTTGAGATCTTTGTTTGATTTTCTAAAGCTCTAATTTGTATCCTTGGAGATTGCCTTTCTCTTTGTGGTTTTTAGCCTAGCAGTTGATATTAGGAGTCTCCACAATGAGGTCAGTGAGGTTGTTTTGGCATAGTAGTTTATCCATTGCAGAAATGGAATGTATATTTGTATGTCCAGGGGCTGGAGACAGGAGGTTCTTAGTAAAAGGGGGTGGTCAGCTCTGGAATTTGTTCCTGACTTGATACGATAGTGCCCAAGTTTCCATCTTCTTCATAAAATATTGCAAAACATTCTGTTTATGCTCTTTAATTACCCCCTAAACCTATCTGCTTTTTTATGAAGAGTTGTTAAATTAGGGCAGTAAGTGGTTTTGTTTGCATGGGTTAATGTCTATAAAGCAAACGTTTAATGTGGCACTTTGCTTTTCTTTTATTGTAAATGTGCTTATCAGCTGGCTCATGGTTGTATCTCTCAATTAAGGAAATATGAGGAAGATCTTCCATCTTTGTTCCCTCCTGGGCATTTTGGGAAAAAATGAGGAATTTAGACATAATAGACTGGTTAGTTGATTAATACTAATTGATTCTGAACATATGTCATCAACAGAATTAACAAAAATGAATTATCGCTCTAGATGCTTAATTGCGCTTTGATTTTTAGCTAGGAAAAGTGTCCAAAAATCCTGCCTTATTCTTGGCTTTCAAACATCCCTCTTTTCTCCTTTGATACTGGCTTTGCCATTCATGTCTTTCTTGCATCTGGAGTAGATTACTCCAAAACTAGTGATAACTGCAAAGGCTTTCCTGACAATATAGAGTGCTGCTTCTTGTACTCTGAGCAAGATAGACCAGTGAGACCATATTCTGTATGTTTTTGCACACCACAGTGGTTTATAGTGACTTTCCATAAAGTGGTAAATGATCTGGGGTCCAGCTCCACCTCTCTTGGTCATTCTCTGCATCTGGCTTCCTGATTTGCTGATCCTAGAGCATAAGAACATTTAAGACAGATTTCTAGGGTGAAGCTTAGTAGAACTGACCACTTATTATGTTAGGATTTTTCCTCTGGAATTTCTGTTAGAAATTTATCTGAGCATATGCCTTTTTACATTCACAAAGAATTAGATGATATCCTGGCTTGTCAAGGATCTACAGTAATTGCCAACTTCGTTTCTCCTTGTCCTTTCTATGCTTAGGTGCTTTGGGTGTGGTGCTGGTAGGGGGTATTGTCAGTTGCTTCCTGCTACATGGGGAGAAAAACTTTTAAGAGTCATGTATATTGCTTAGTGATATGTATAGTGCTTAGTGATAGACACGTGTAGTAAATGCATGTAAATGATTTAAGAAGTGCTTAAATAGTTGGAATGCAGGATACACAAATAACGCATCTGGTGCAGTGCTTACATATACACATTCTCCAGCTGAGCTGTTTTAGTTATACTATCGTGTCATCTTCTTTGGAGTATCTATATACCACACACTTTGTTTTGTTTTCCTGAACGACTAAGGCAAGTTTATGGAATAGTTTGGTTAGTTCTAACATTATAACATTGCCTCTAGTTGTAGCTGTAAGTTTTGTCACTATCTTATATGCTTGGTTGATTAACTGGTACATTTCTACTGTACATATGTAAACAAGCTTGTTATAATTAAAAGCCAAAGTTTTCTGCTAATATTGCTTTTACTTTATGATGCATTTATTTTATACCATAATAAAAACATCAAGAAAGATACAGGGTGAATTATAAAGTTACATGGTAACATATGCAGGGGTGTAGGTTGTAGCTGTGGTGGTCTAAGGACATAGACAGACAAGGTTCCTTGGGTGAACAGGAGCGCATACCAACTGCTGAAACTTCCTTAGCCTGATGAAGGGTTTTTGAACCTGAAAGCTTGCTTAATAACTATTCTCCAACTATTTGGGTTGGTCTAATAGAAGATATCAGATTCACCCAAGGTACCTTGTCTGCCTATGGTAACATATGCACTTTTGATAATAGTTATTTCTTCTGTGATCATTTTCATTAGGGATGGTGTTGGTGCGCACTGAAGCTGGACAGCTTGTTATGGTACCCCAGCAAGCTTTAGCTCAGGCTCAAGTGCAAGCTCAAGTACAAACCCAGGGGCAAGGGCCCACCAGCATTTCGCCCAGGCTTTCAGTGCCTACAAGTGGCCCAGTTTTTCGTTTATCAACAGCCCAGGTATGTCTTTGGATTCTCTGATTACCATTTTTGTTTATGATGAACCCTGTCTTTAATCTGAACTTCTATGTAACTGTTGTTTACTTACACTTTCTTTCTTGCACTGAAAAGAAATTACAGAGAAGGGAAATACCGTATCTTCTCTTATATCAAAGTCAGTCTAGTTTCAAGAGGCCAGGACATGTCCATATTCCTTATATGCTTCCATTTCAGAAGACCTATGTAGTTTTTGTCTGAGTCCCCCCAGGGCTGTGAGGTCATCAAATATTGTAAGGTAAGCAGGTTGAACTGGAGTTGAAACTTGGTGTGGACATCTCCAAGGAAAACAGAGGGGCTATGGATTCAGTACGTCATATTTTTCATACTTTTGGGGTCATATACCTCTTTTTAAGTGTGTTATGCTGCTGTGCAACCATATGGTTCCATGTTGTAATAATGAAAAAATAACACGTTTTGTTAGTATCACTGAATTGTAATCTCCCCAGCACCTGTCAGAAATTGTAGTATTGTTCTTAATTATTTTGTTTTTCTTTTCCTCTATATACATTTCCCGTTCCTTCATGTACTGTCTAGAAGTTTGCCCCATACCCCATTTTCAGAACTACTTTCCTCTAAGTCAGTTTTGATCTAACTCCCCATCATGATATTTTGGGAAAGTTAAAATATACCCTGTTCTTTTAGTCATTTCATATTCTATTACACTTTATCTAGCATACATCGTTGGAATTGATGTACTATCAAGATTCCAAATTGGGTTTGTATTTTGTCAATCTGTGTTGATTTAAATTGATTGTGGTATTCCCCAAACTATTTCTTAGAAATTGCTGTAGTTTGTTAAAATCTTACATTATTTCAACACAAAGGTAGATTCTTTTCAGTGGGGAAGCAGTTGCTATTTAATTTCTAAAGTGCTTCAAGATTCTTGTAACTAAAAATGGTTTGTTAGCACAATTATTTTCAATAAATGATGGCAGCTTAGAGATACTATTTAGCTTGGTTGCTTTGGGCTATAACTTAAATGTAAATTGTTTGGGGTATTTTTAATGGACAATTTAGACCTACAGCACAGGGGACTGGCATTTACAGCCCATTTCAGAGAAGCCCCGAAAAAGATCAAAACTAGCCCATGCTAGCTTCCTAAAGCATTTTTAACAAACTTCATTTAAACACAAGCAACCCCTACCCCCATGCCTTCTTTAATCTGTGTGACTGCTTTGTCTCTATCTTTGCATTTTGGGGTGTAAATACCAATATAAGCAAATTTTGACAGATGACCCAAAACTAAATGAGTAGCAGGGAAAAAGAACCAAACTAGAAAAGGACCTGAGCTTAGAGCAGTTAATAATAATATAAATATAAAATGGCGTTTGAATAGTGGGGTAGTCTTAAAAAAGATGGCATCGCTGTATAAAAATGTAATTTATTCTTATCTACTTAATACTGTTCTAATATTAATTTTTCATGTAACGGTAGTTGCTGTGGCCAGGATTTATAATCGAGGTTGAAGTAGGAAATGTTTAATAGAGTACCCTAATATTAAGAAGGAAAAAGGGGAGAATAAATTCAGGATTACAGGTTTAGAGTGCATTGAAAATGTAGGTGGTTTGCTCTGTAAATTTATAGGTAGCACAGTGTACTGCCACATAGAGATTGGAGTTTGGGTCCCAAACCTAATCCTAAAATGTCATGGACAGCAAGCATTTGGGAGCTGCTTGTGTTATAATGTATTATATTGTATATATATGATCATTTACCTTTGGCTAACTTGGAGCAGCAGTGGAACGAGGTTAACCCTGCTACTGCTGCATTTTATACATTATAGGAGGTTAACCCTGATACTGCTGCATTTTATACATTATGTATACGTTAGAATCAAGCAGTGATGTGAATGTTGACTATCGTAGAGCTTGTAATAGTTTCAGTACTTTGTAATACTGAAATAGCTATATAGTTGCTCATGTGCATTGAGAGTCCTGTGTAGCAGCTGTGATATTGTTTCTTCCCTTTTGTTAACACCATGTGTATTTACCGTGATTTATTAATAAAGGTGCTTAAATAAATAAAACAAAGTCCTTGGAAAATTAAAATTGAACTTATTTAGCCTGAAGTTTTAATTGGGCTATAGATTTTTCACTCATACTACCAACTGCAATCTTTTTGTATACATTTGGTCTTGAGAAGATATTATTTAGAAACAGTCATTAGAAAAATTTTGTAAAACCAGAAAACTGAATCGTTTAAACAATGAAGGCTTTTAATACATAGGAGTTATAGTTGTGTTTAATTCTTTTGGAAAGCTTATTGCTTTTCCTCTTTTGGAGGAAATGTATGGTGACAAACATACTAAGCTTTTAGAAGCAACTGTAATTTAATTTTTCTGTCTAGTAAATAATCATGATCATGTTTGGTCAGGAAAAGGAATCTAATTCTAAAAGTTCAGCAAATAATGTATACTGCAAAGCAAAATAAAACAAAATACTGTGTATCCAGCAAATTTCTAATTGACAGAATTATTTTTTCTTTTGGAGTATACTTCTGACTTGCCAGGTGAGGGAGATTCCTTGCCCTCTATCGAAGCTGACCTTGTGAAGGAACACCTTGACAGGCTGAATACCTTCAAGTCAGCTGGCCCTGATGGGTTACATCCAAGGGTACTCAGGGAGCTGGCAAGCATCATAGCTCAGCCCCTGGCACGGATCTTTGAGAGCTCTTGATGCTCTGGTGAAGTGCCCGAAGATTGGAAGAGGGCCAGTGTCGTGCCTACCTTCAAGAAAGGGAGGAAAGTAGATCTGGCAAACTACAGGCCCATCAGCCTGACCTATGTCCTGGGGAAGGTCTTGGAAAAGATTATCAAAGAGGCCATCCTTAACAGACTAGCTGAAGGCAATATCCTGAGGGATACCCAGCATGGGTTTGTTGCAGGTAGGTCTTGCTTGACCAATCTCATTTCCTTTTATGACCAGGTGACTTATCACCTGGACAAGGGGGAAGAGATCGACGTTGTATATCTTGACTTTAAAAAAGCCTTCGATCTGGTATCCCATGATCACCTCTTGGCTAAACTGGCTAACTGCGTCCTCGACCTCACCACGACCTGCTGGCTGGGGAATTGGCTCCGTGGTAGGACCCAGCGGGTGGTGGTCGACGGGAGCCAATCATCTTGGTGTGCTGTGACCAGTGGGGTCCCTCAAGGCTCTGTCCTAGGACCTATACTATTTAACATCTTCATCAATGATGTGGACATAGGTGTCAGAAGCGGACTGGCCAAGTTTGCCTACAACACCAAACTGGGGTAAAGCTTCCACACCTGAGAATAGGAGGGTGATCCAGGAAGATCTTGACAGGCTCATGAAATGGGCGGATGAGAACCTGATGGTGTTCAACACTGAAAAATGCAAGGTTCTCCACCTTGGGAGGAAAAACCTGCAGCATGCTTATAGGCTCGTTAGTGCTATGCTGGTTAGCACTACAGATGAAAGGGGGGTCATAGTTGACCACAAGATGAACATGAGCCTTCAGTGTGATGCTGCGGCTAGTAAAGCGAGCAAAACGCTGGCTTGCATCCATAGATGCTTCTCAAGCAAATCCCGGGATGTCATTCTCCCCTTGTGCTCGGCCTTAGTGAGGCCGCAGCTGGAGTACTGTGTCCAGTTTTGGGCTCCACAATTCAAAAAGGATGTGGAGAAGTTTGAGAGGGTTCAGAGGAGAGCCACGCGCGTGATCAGAGGTCAGGAAAACAGACCTTATGATGAGAGGCTGAGAGCCATGGGGCTCTTTAGCCTGGAAAAGCGCAGGCTCAGGGGTGATCTGGTGCCCACCTATAAGTTTATCAAGGGTGCTCATCAGGATTTGGGGGAACGTCTGTTCACCAGAGCACCCCAAGAGATGACAAGATCAAACGGTCACAAACTCCGCTGCTACCGATTCAGGCTGGACATAAGAAAGAACTTATTCACTGTCTGAGCCCCCAAGGTTTGGAATAGACTACCACCGGAGGCGGTTCAAGCACCCACTTTGAATGCCTTCAAGACACATTTGGATGCTTATCTTGCTGGGATCCTATGATCCCTGCTGACTTCCTGCCCCTGGGGCAGGGGGCTGGACTTGATGATCCTCCGGGGTCCCTTCCAGCCCAAATGTCTATGAAATTTATGAATATACAAGGTTTGTGAGTTTAACTGTTTTTGTCAGTGAAAATGCATAAGATAGGGAAAATACTTTCTCCGTATATGGTGCTAGGTCTCTAGAGTAAAATTTATGAGTCTTATTCTCTTCAGTTATTCATTCTGAAACAGTTTGCTTTAACCATTAGGTAAAAGGCAGGGCAGGGTGACAATATAGACTAACTCACACAGGGAGACATGAGCTTTTGTGGGCTCCTGATAAGCATCTAATGCAATAGACTACAAAAGCTCATGTTTCTTTATACAAGTTAGTGTCTAAGGTGCTACCCTGCTCTGCTTTCTGCCTAACTTTAGACTAATTCCCTCTCATTAACCATTAACTAATCAGGAGAGAGTGAATGTAAACACTAGGGCTGCCAATTAATTGCCATTAACGTGTGTTATTAATGCGTTAGTTGGTTCTTGTGTTGAATTTTAAACATGTTAATCATGCCCAGGCTCTGCTCTGCTACTGTCACCTCTGCTTCTGGGCTGCCCAGTGTGGCAGTGGTGGCAGTGTAGAGGAGCCGCAGGGCAGCCCAGGTGTGGACTCGTGGCTGGGGTCGCA